GATCTAGAACTTCAAGACAATTTTCCTTGATAATTTCTTGTAATATTGTGTCAAGATTCTTTTTTTAATCATAATTTTCAAGTAATCAGACAGTTCTTATATTATTTTTCCTCAGTCTGTTCTCCAGATCATTTTTTTTCCTGATGAAATGTTTCAGTTTCTCTTCTGTTTTTTCATTCTCTTGATTTTGTCTTATTATTTCTTGGTGTCTTAAAACATCATTGGGGGGGCGGAGCCAAGATGGCGGCGTGAAAGCAGTGACTTGCTTGAGCTCTCCCCCAAACCCCTCCAAATACCCACCCAAAAAATGGCTCTAAACAAATTCTAAAGCAGCAGAACCCACAAGAAGACAGAGTAAAACAAATTTCCAGCCCAAGACAGCCTGGATGGTTGATCGGAAAGGCATATTGCGCGGGATGGGGAGAGGAATGCAGTTAGGCATGGGTGCGCAGGCCACAGCGAACCTAGAGCAGGCCTCAGAGGACTGAATCACAGGCAGCTGTGGTGGCTTCCAGACTCCTCAATCCACAAACACTAAAGACAATTTAGAAGGTCAGTGGGAAAAGTCTGGTTTTGCGGTGAGAGAAGAGCTAGGTCAGAGCCAGTTCCAGACCTCAGAGCATGGGTGCCAGGCGGTGGCTGTGTCCTGAGCTTCCGGCTCACAGACTGAGGGGGAATTGGGTGGCTGATCAGAGGGGGACTGCAGGGATCTCTTTGCTGTTGCTGAGGCAGGAATCTCTTGCTTTGCCCATGCTTGGATCTGGGTCACAGTTCTGAGTGGTGGTCCTGGGGTGAGGAGGAGTGATGGCGCGATGGAGCTTGTAGTGGCTGTGGAGAGGAAATCTTCCTCACAGTTCCAATACAGAAAAGACTGCTTGTGGCCGGTCACTCAAAGACCAGAGCTCAGGCCAGGAAAAGAGTAAACACCTCGACCCTTATCATACCGCCTTGCAAGAACTGAAAATTTACAGGTCCCTGCAAGTATCTCTGAAAACATATACAAACCCCCAAAGCTTGGAACAGTACATTCTCCACATTAGAAGCAGACTTTTACCTTAACAAAGAGTTTAAAACTCAAGTAGTTAGCTGGGATCATGAGCAAACCTCGCAAAAAGTCAGACTGTATTATCTTACATTGGTGACAAAGAAGATCAAAACATACAACCAGAAGAAGACAACAAAGTCAAAGCTCCCCACATCCAAAGCCTCCAAGAAAAATATGAATCTGTCCCAGGCCTTGGAAGGGCTCAAAAGGGATTTTGAGAAGCAAGTAAGAGAAGTAGAGGAAAAACTGGGAAGAGAAATGAGAGTGATGCAAGAAAATCATGAAAAACAAGTCAACAGCTTGCTAAAGGAGACCCAAAAAAATACTGAAGAAAATAACACCTTAAAAAATAGCCTAACCCAAATGGCAAAAGAGGTCCAAAAAGCCAATGAGGAGAAGAATGCCCTAAAAAGCAAAATTGGCCAAATGGAAAAGGAAGTCCAAAAGCTAACTGAAGAAAATACTTCCTTAAAAATTAGAATAGAGCAACTGGAAGATAGTGACTTTATGAGAAATCATGACACAGTAGAACAAATCCAAAAGAATGAAAAATTAGAAAACAATGTGAAATATCTCATTGGAAAAACAACTGACCTGGAAAATAGATCCAGAGAGAATTTAAAAATTATTGGACTATCTGAAAGCCATGATCAAAAAAAGAGCCTAGACATCATCTTTCAAGAAATTAACAAGGAAAACTGCCCTGATATTTTACAACCAGAGGGCAAAATAGAAATTGAAAGAATCCATCGATCTCCTCCTGAAAGAGATCCCCAAAGGAAAACTCCTAGGAATATTGTAGCCAAATTCCAGAGTTCCCAGGTCAAGGAGAAAATATTGCAAGCAGCCAGAAAGAAACAATTCAAGTATGTGGAAACACAATCAGGATAACACAAGATTTAGCAGCTTCTACATTAAGGGACCGAGGGCATGGAATATAATATTCCGGAGGGCAAAGGAGATAGGATTACAACCAAAACACCTACCCAGCAAAACTGAATGTAATCCTTCAGGGGAAAAAATGGTAATTCAGTGACATAGAGGACTTTCAAGCATTCCTGATGAAAAGACCAGCGCTGAATAGAAAATTTGACTTTCAAATACAAGACTCAAGTGGAACATGAAGAGGTAAACAGGAAAGAGAAATCATAAGAGACTTATTAAGGCTCAACTGTTTACATTCCTGCATGGAAAGATGATATTTATAACTCATGAGACCTTTGTCAATATTAGGGTAGTGGGAGGGGGAAAATTATATGATAGATAGATAGATAGATAGATAGATAGATAGATAGATAGATAGATAGATAGATAGATGGCACAGGGTGAGAAGATGAAGGGGTGTATCTGAGAATAAAATTAAGGGTGAGAGAGGATTATACTAGGAGAAGGAGAAAGGGAGAGGTAGAATGGGGTATATTACTTGCACAAAACAGACAAGAAAAGGTTCTTACAGTGGAGGGGAAACAGGGGAAGGTGAGAGGAAATAAGGGAATCTTATTCTCATAGGATTTGGCTTAAGGAGGGAATAACATGCACACTCAATTGGGTATGGAAATCTGTCTTACCCCACAGGAAAATAGGGGAGGAAAAGGACAAGAGAGCAGGGAGATGATAGAAAGAAGGGCAGATTGGGAAAGGGGTAATCAGGAGGAAGTACTTCTGAGGAGGGACAGGGTCAAAGAAAGAATAGAATAAATGAGGGGGGCAGGATAGGATTAAGGGAAATAGAGTTAGCTTTTCACAACATATCTACTATGGAAGTGTTTTGCATAACTGCACATGTATGGCCTGGATTGACTTGCTTGCCTTTTCAATGAGGGTGGGTGGGGTAGGAGGAAGGGAGAAAATTTGGAACCCAAAGTTTTAAAAACACATGTTTAAAAAAAATGTTTCCACATGCAACTGGGAAATAAGAAATACAGGAAATGAGGTAAAGAAATCTATCCCACCCTACAAGAAAATAGAAGGGGAAAGGGATAAGAGAAGGGGGGGAGAGAGATAGAAGGGAGGGCAGACTAGGAGAAGGGGTATTCAGAATGCATGCCATCTTGGGTGGGGGAGGGGCAAGATGGGGTGAAAATATGGAATTTAAAATCTTGTGGAAGTAAATGTTGAAAACTAAAAATAAATATATATATTTTAAAAAAACATCATTAGCTTTGGGGGGCAGCTAGGTGGTGCAGTATCGGATAGAGCACCGGCCCTGGATTCAGGAGGACCTGAGTTCAAATGCAACCTCAGACACATAACACTTACTAGCTGTGTGACTGTGGGCAAGTCACTTAACCCCATTGCCTAACCAAAAACAAACAAACAAACAAACAAAAACATCATTAGCTTTCCCTTGCCCAATTCTAGTTTTCAAGTAATTATTTCTTTTCCTTAAGTTTTTGATCCTCTGTTTCAAATTAGTTGACTTCCTTTTCATAATTTTCTTGATTTTCTTGGATTGCTCTTATTTTTTTTCATAATTTTTCCTCTATCTTTCTTATTTGGTTTTTTAAATCCTTTTTAAATTCTTCCAAGAACTCTTTGTGCTTGGGACCATTTGACGTTCTCACTGAAAAAAAGAGTGGCTTTTTTAGCTCCATTATATTCCTCTGTATGTGAACCCAGACCCAATGCGATTTCTTTTCTCTCTCATTTTTAGTACCAAGTCTTTTCTTCATGCTGGGTGGTTTCAGGCCGTAAAACTGGGTGTAATAGGTCCACTGTAGTTGAAGTGCCATGAAGATGTGGTGTCAGCGTCCTGGAGGGTAGTCACAGCCTGGTTTATGTGTCCAAAGTTTTTCTTGAGGAGGTGAAGGGACTATAAAAATTAGTTTAATTACAAATGAGTAGGAACATATCAAAAGAGTAAAAAAGGCTCTTGTGTCATCTCCTACTTGAACAAGTTGCCTGAAGTTGTAGAGTCATAAGACTAAATTTAAATTGTAGTTCTGACCCTTATGAGTCCTGTGAGCACGGTTAAGTCATGACGCCCTTCTGACCTTGCTTTGTAAACCTTAAAATTTCTATGGAACTACAAACTAGGACTGTTATTTCAGTATTCCTTTTGACTTTGCTAAAACGGTCACCCTGCTGTCAGTTCATCTTAATCTGGCTGCTTCAGCACTGACAGGCAAGAGAAAAGAGAATTAGTCGTTAGTCTCCCAAGTCTTCCAGGGGCCCCACTGAATTGGTATGGCTTTTGTAGAGCTCTGGTGAAGTAGATGAACTTCATCTTTTTTACTCCTGCCTTCCATCTCCCTGTGTAAGTATCACATTACAATTCTGCAAAAAGATGGAAAGGGCTAGGAAACTAAAGAGTTTTACCTGTACTTGTACTACAAACCCTACAACCTTTCTCTGTGGATATTAGCAATGTTCTCTCATGAGTATGTACTCTCACCCACTGTGGGCCTGTTAGGAGCTAGATTAGTATAATCCTTGGCTCTTGGCACCTAACAATTTGCAAACTCTTAGAGGCTATGGACCTTTTTTCTGTAATTCTCTTTGCAAAGGGCTAAATGCCATTAGATAATTACTAGTCTCTTCAGTGCTGTTACTATAAAGAGACTGAGGTGATATTTGTGAAGGACAGCAAGGTAAGTCATCCCCCAAGTCCTCAGAATCTGTTGTCATTTAGAGAGAAATGTCAGAGATAAAGTGCTTCTGGACTGAGAGCCAAATGAATTTCAGCATGCAAAGAAATCTTACTAGCAGCTTTTTAAAGGGAATGGAAAGTTCAGAGGGGACCATGTAGGGCTCAAAACCTCTTAAAATCCCAAAGTGAGAGCCACAGGGAAGTCCTATAAGCATTCTCTTTTCAAAGTTGCCTTGGATGGGCTCATGGGAGCTCACAAAATCTATGTTCTACTTTTTGCATGTGTAAAATTTGAGCTCTGTGATTTGGAACTTTTCCTGTTTCTTATTAAACAGCTGACCTCATTTTTCTCCTTTATCTCTGTAGTGGTGGAGATCCAAGAAGGGAAGACAACTATTGTAAGTATCATAGCATTAACCAGTTAGAACCTCTGTCATTCTTGGAACTGCTGAGTCATTACATTATTAGAAGAGAGCCTCAAACTAGCCCTGATTGGGGACTTCCTAGATCCAAAACCAGCTCTGTCTGGGACTATAAATCCTGGAACCTGCATCTTTCTAGCTGTGGATTGTCATGGCTTAGTCAGAAAGTTTCTAGGCTTGGAATGAGATACTGTACTTGATAATAGCCTAGGTTCACATTGCCCTTTAAATTACAAAGTCACTGAGGTCTTCGTTGATATTATTTTTAGCAGGTTATAGAATTTACAGTTTTCAGAAGGAGAAACTGAGGCAGTAAACTAGAGAGTCTCACTAAATTGGCCCAGACCCAGAAATCTATACTGCAGCTCCTTTCTATTTCCCTTAAAGCTGTCTTTGTAGTAGTACAGTTAGGGAATAGTATCATTTGTGCACATTTGCCTTCTGTCAGACCCTTTGGCCACTCTGTCCTCCATTATTGAAATTTTTAGGGTACCTGTGGTTGGGCCTCCTCAAGCTAAAGTCATTGGGCCAAGATTCCTTAATTTTTTTTAAAATCTGTGCTCACTGGTCTCCATGAAAGCCGTGCAGCTGAAGCCCTTCAGAGAGCTCTGGAGGAGCTTGAACCCACAGCTCAAAATGGATTCTGCCCCACCACTCCACCAGCCAGCCATGGTGAGGTCAGTTGTCCTGTAGAAAGCCTGGGTGCCCGCCCCTTGTATCACAAAAAAACCGGCACGTGTCATCGCTTGATTCCCCATTGTAGAAAATAGTACATTCATGATGGCTGCAGGGCTGAATAATAATTCACATTGGAGGGCAGCTAAGTATTGCAGTGGATAGAACACTGGCCTTGAAATCAGGAGGACCTGAGTTCAAATCTGGCCTTAGATCAAGCATGTCTCCTTCATTTGCCCCTCTTTAGTTATGGAATAGGACAAATATTCAATCTGAAGACCCTAAGCCAGAAGGATCAAAACCATCAAACTGGGAGATGGGAAAAGTTTTCTTTATTCTATAAGTGAATCTGTAGAAGGCAGGCATGCATGGCACTGGATCTGGAATTCATCAGAAAGTCCTGTGCTTCTGCAAGCTTTGTTAATAAAATCTTCCCTTCTGTCCTGCCATGCCTCAGCCTCACCCATCTCACCTTTTCTCACAGCCCTCAAGCCCCACACTCTCCATGTTGTAGTCACAGACCCTGGTCCCTTTTCCCTTTTGACCGGTCACATGTCTGTGAAAGGTGCAGGTTCTTAGTGCTGTCCCTGGCTCTGCTCCCACGCCCTATGATTTCCTTTTAGCATTACTTTCCACCTTCCAGTAGGAGCTGGCTACTGGGATTGACGGCTTGTTGCTCTTAGCAACTTCAAGGCTACATTATAATAAAGAAGAAAACATAAACCAGGCCAAGACTAGTTGGACCCATTTCATATGTGACCTTATCTGGGTTTGAAAGGTGACATCCATACCAATGAAGTATATAAAGCCCTCTTCCCCCAATCCCTCACCTTGATATCTTTGCCCCTGAAAAGGGACGGGTGGGTTCTAATGTAGTAGCATGTTCTATGGCCTGTTCACAATTTTAAAGTGTTTTATCGATGCTTGGGGGTGAGGGGGCAGTGGTTGTCAGTGTTACTTCCAGTGACTCTTCTCTTTCTCCTCCCCACTGGAATCTTTCCTTGTAGCAAAGAAAAAGTTATAGTCTGTTCATTTCTAACTAACCAAGGGCCAGCTTGTTATCCCCTATTCAGCAAAAGTGTTGACACTTCAGGCAGGAGAGATTTGTTGGATCAGGTACTGCCAAGAGACCCTCAATAAAAGAGAGCTGCTCTTCAACCCCAGTTTCTACGTCATAATCCATATTTACTGTCTATATTAAATAGGATGTTTTATTCAGTACTTGACCTCTCCTTTTTCTACTTCTTAGATTGAAGGCCGAATCATAGAAACTTCCAAGGTGGCAACAGATCCTCCTAACCCCTCTGGCCAGTGCCCAATCTGTCGTTGGAATCTGAAACACAAATATAACTATGTGGTGAGTGTACCTTCTGACTAGCCTAGCCCAAAGAGAATTAGCCACAGGTACAAATATCTCTTACACTTCTGTAAAGTATGACTTGGTCCTCTTGTTTGCCTATTGCTGCTAGATCTAGAGAGGAGAGAGTTTGGTCCAAGGTTTGACTAAGGATTAGGGATACCTGGGTTCTTCACTCTAGCCCTTCCTGTGTTGGTTGTGTTTCCTCATCACATTTTGTTTGGGTTTCTCTCATAACATATATTTGAGGAGACCCAAATGGGCTAGACGGAATACTTCCACTTCAGCTACAAAGAACCTTCCTTTCTATCCAGGAGTGGTTTTGACCATTGCTGTGTGTTGCCCAGCAGCTATGACATTTTTCCTTGCTGTTGGACCCTGATACCTCTTGTCACTTTGAAAGTAACCATTTCTAGAGGAGCTGGGGGTTGGGGTGGAGTGGAAGACTTGGCAACAAATCACATCTTTAATGAAAACTACCTTGCTCCTTAGCAATTTCTGAGTTTTCCATGACATGGTAAATGATGTGGATTCTGGGCTAACCAACTGCACAAGAAATCAGACCTAAAAAATAAATGCATCAGGTAGGTTTGAACTGAGACAGATGTTTCTTGGCCCCTTCTGAAAATGGCCAAGAACCATAATCCAGTCATGCGGTGAAAGGGTAGCATATACCCATGAGGCATAATGACCCAAATGCTTCTCCAGGGTGGTCACCCCTTAGGGCCACCTGGAGTAAGAAGTTTGACAACCCAACTGAAATGCCAGGCCTTCCTGTTAAGTGGTGCCTAGATATAGCTTCTTATGGCATATGTTCGGCACTAGGGTTGGTGATGCTGCTCAGAATGCAGCAGCATCAGGATTAACACCTGCCCAGCTACCAAACACAGGCATCACTGCCCCAGGGGCGCTCTACCCATTGGCTTTTCCTGGAAATGCACAGCCCGTACTTGGCTTTGTTTATCCATCAGAAGAAACCCAATCCCCTTCTGAGGTGAAGGCTAAATTTGTTTTTGCTTTCACCCCTTCCACTCAGAATGTGCTCAAGCTACATAGAGCTGTCAGCTTACTCAGCAGTGCTTTCAGGGGCTGGGGCTGTGAGTCTGGCTTATTAGCCCATATTAATCCAATCCAAGTTGTTTTCATCAAATGCTGAAGATTACAGGGGTGGGAACTGGGGGCCTGTGTCCCTCAGGAACTGTCCAGTGATTAAAGTAAATCTGCTATTACACAGCTTGGCTCCCGGCAGTGCAGCAAGTTAATTTCATGGAACATGACCACTGAGGCTGGTGTGCCAGGCCCCTAGAGGAGGGGTGGAGGGGTAATTTTTATCTAACCCCACTTTGTGTTCTCATGGCATTTTCCCAGCTACACAAGATTCCAGGATGTCTTCCTGTCTTGTGGCTGATTCTTATTATTCTTAATGCTGGGTTCCCTCCAAAGCAGCCTGAGAAGCTGGACAAGCCTGGCAGAGTGGAAGCTAGCATAGCACATACATCTTGTCACCATGAAGGAAGAAGACCCATGATGATTCCCTCCTCTTACCCCAGACCCCTCAAACTCTTCTCATTCACAGCCTTTGCCCACTCCAACCCCCAATGAGCATGTAGCTGGACTCGGAGGGTACATTACCAAGGCATGTCTAGCCGTGTATGCCCTACTTTGTCACGTTTTGGCTTTGAAGGTAGTCCTGGGTTTCCTCCATCCCATCCCATGACAACAGTATGTCATATATACTCTCCATCTAGGAAAAGATATCCATCATATTCCCAAATCCTATCAAAAGCAATGCTTTAGCAAAGGAAGAGAACTAAACTCTAAAGAGGGTACTTCATATTACCTGTCTGAACAAATTGTGGTATATGAATATAAAGAAATATTATTGAACTGTAGGAAATTATAAAAGATACAGAGTGAAGTGAGCAAAGCCAAGAGAACAATTTATGTAACAATAATAATGTAAACAAAACAACTTTGAAAGACTCGGACTTAACAACTCTTATTTAAAGACAATGACCCACCATATCTTTGGAAGACTTATGATGAAACATGTTAACCACTTCCTAATAAAGAGGTTTTTGACCTTGGCCACTGTGTGGATTTGTTTTGACTATGCTTGTTACAAGGTTTTATGCTTTGGTTTTTTTCTCTGGGTTTTTAATTGAGGGATAGAGGGTTAGCAATAGTGACCCCAAAACACAGGGCCATTGAAAACACGAAAAAGAAGTTCAGAAAGAAGCACAAACTGGCGAGACAGTTTTGAAAGTAATGTACATATGTTTTTTAAGTTGCTGTTTTTAAAGCAAATGGTTTGAAATGGAGATTTACCATTTCATACACAGACTTTTTATGTTTTGCTGTGTTTATGGAAATGCCCTTTTTTAGTGTTTAAATTCATAATAAAATTAAAAAGAGATACTTTGGTTCCTAAAAAAAAAAATTCCCACCTCTGCCTATTGAATAGAATTGGTCCTATTTTTTTTAATTTTTTAAATTTATTTTTAGTTTTCAACATTTCGTTTCCATAGGCTTTCGAGTTTTCAATTTTCTCCCCCTCCCTTCCTCCCTCCTCAGGACGTCATGCAATCTGATATAGGCTCTACATATACATTCCTATTAAACATATTTTCACATAAGTCATATTGTAAAGAAGAATTTGAATCAATAGGAGGAACCACAAGAAAGAAGAAACAAAACAAAACAGAAGGGAAAAAAGAACAAATAGTATGCTTCGATCTGCAGTCAGACTCCATAGTTCCTTCTCTAGATGTGGATAGCATTTTCTGTCATGAGACCTTTGGAGATGTCTTAGATCCTTGCATTGCTGAGAAGGGCTAAGTCTGTCAAAGCTAGTCATTGCACAATGTGGCTTTTATTGTGTACAGTGTTCTCCTGGTTCTGCTCGCTTCACTCAGCATCAGAGCATACAAGTTTTCCCAGGTTTTTCTGAAGTCTGCTTGCTCATCATTTCTTGTAGCACAGTAGTATTCCGTCACATTCACATACCACAACTTGTTCAGCCATTCCCCAGTTGATGGGCATCCCCTCAATTTCCACTTCTTTGCCACCACAAAAAGAGCTGCTATAAATATTTTTGTACACGTGGGTCCTTTTCCCATTTTTATGATCTCTTTGCCCTAAAAGACCACTTGGTCTTTAATTTTTGAAAGAAAGCCCTAGAGTAGGAGCTCAGGGCTCTTGGCTTTATTAATAGGATTCACCAATCTCATTGACATTTGGAATTTAACTTGGGCCTGACTGACCCATTCCTGTCCTCAGAGTTCTGGCGTATGAGTACAGTAGCAGTGGGCAGATTTCTAATGTCTTATTATACCCTGGCATCTGTGAAGACAGGAGTCTGAGTGACAGTAACCTCTGTTGATTGTCTTACTCTGGGCTCCCAAGTGCTGACAGTAGGCCAATCCTGCTTTCACCATCCTACCTCTCTTTCCATGCCCTGAAGGATGTCCTTCTGCTGAGTCAGTTCATCCGGCCCAATGGGGGAATGCTGCCCCGGAGAATCACAGGTCTATGCTTGGAAGAACATCAGAAAGTGGAGGAGTGTGTGAAGATGGCTCACCGGTCAGGTAGTTTGCACCCCTTCCCCCAACTCAGAAGGTGAGCCCCCTACTCAAAAATATTGGAGACATAAGATATCCCAGCTGTTTCCACAGTACTCCCTGTGTTTAGCTGGGATGAAAACAGTTTTTATTGTTCAGTCATTTTCAGTTATGTCTGATTCTTTGTAACCCCTTTTGGGGTTTTCTTGGCAACTTCTCCCATTCATTTGACAGATGAGGAAACTAAGGCAAACAGGGTGAAGTGACTTGCCCAGAGTCTTAGAGCTAGTGAGTGAGGCCAGATTTAAACTCAGGATAAGTCTTCCTGACTCCCAAGCCTGGCACTCTGTGTACTATGGCACCACCAGCTGCCCATGAAAGCAGTTACTCCATGATAAAAGAGGAGTGTTACAGCTTGACCTTATCTCAGGAATTGCTGAAGGAGCTGTACAGTAGCTTCCCTGACACGTGCTTCCTTTCCTCTAGGTCTGCTACCGAATCATAGGCCTAAGCTTCCTGAAGGATGTGTTCCCAAGAAAAAACCCCAACTCAATCGGTGAGTGAACTGGCTACTAGTCATGATGGATGGCTACAGCTAAGGACCTCCAGGATAGTCGTGACTCCCCTTCTAACATCCATTTAGTTAGTCCATGGCCCCTCAGCCTTCACTGTGTAGCCATTGATGGCTCTGTGGATTAGAAAGCATTTACTTAAAAGAGGCCCACAGCCAAGGGAAGCTGAGGGTACATATGTCTCTGATAGCAGCATAGTTATCACCCCACATCCTGGGACACAGAGTTCTGTTGATTCCTGTTTCCTTCCTTTCCCTTACCCCACTCAGCTGCAGTTTATATTGATCACAGTCCATTTGGCCTAGAGTATGGGTAAGAGAAAGACCCTTGGGATTCCTCCTCTGTCTTTCCATAAGGGAACTTAGGGAAGAGTAAGAGTTAGAGCTGAAAAGTACATCTTGTCACCTATCCTTACTTAGTGGGCATTAGGAGGTGTTAATCCCCTGTTTATGACATCACACTCTGTTGCCATGGAGATGCCAGAGTAGTTTTCTGAACTTTTAATATCCTTGCTCTCTCCCAGCTCTGGGGTTACCAAAGGGCAGAAACAGACGTAGGAAATGGTAGACAGTCCTCAAGATTTTTTGTGGTCCTGGTGTGACTCTAGATGTGACCATAGAAGGGCAGAGCTGTGTAGGGACTGGCTACTTGAGTGGGAGGTTAAGCTCTGGAACGTGACCCACTCCTTGCCCTTATACCAGCTCTGCTGAAATGCAGCTGGTTTCCAAAATGGGCGGAACTCCCTTTCTAACATCTATAGAATTGTACTCTTGAGTTCTCTTTTCGCCACCCATCCCTGGGATGTTTCTGTGTTTTTTTCTGATTACCTCCAACCCAGTTGTGTGTCCTCCTTCCCCTCATCTCCACCCCTGCTCTCATGCTGCTGTTGGCAGGTCATTCAGTGAAGGAGCATGTGTGTCGGGCTCAGCTGAGGGTTTTCACAAAGCAAGACTCCTGCCTTCTTAGCTTCCTTCCTCTCCTCTCTCACTCCCTGGGAGTGTCTAAGGAAATGCAGAGTCTGGGTAACTGAAGCAGCAGGGAAACCAGTACATTTCTGCTATTGTAGAGGGAAGGGGGGAGGGGGGGACTAGTGGACCATGGGACTTGTTTGGGATGCATCACATTGCTTCTGGAGTTGAAGATGCTTTAATTTTCTTAGCATGAAACTGCTTTGCCATAGCTTTGGCACCAGGCCCACTTCCACCTGTGCTTCCCACGTTGGTAGCTTAAGTCATCCAGCAGCAGCCTGGAGGAGACATAGGACACGTGTCAACCTCTTCCTGCCTTCTGCCCTACCCATATCTGCTATGTGTGGCATTTGGGGATGGATCTCACCTCCTTCAGGCTTTGTAAAAGACAACAGTCAGTCCAGGGACACAATTCATCTTGCTCTCAGGCCTTTGAAGAAAGGCAAGGATCCCTCCCCTTAAATCCATTGTTCTTTAATGTGACACAGTATTGATGATGTAGAGACTATAGGATTGCTAAAAGGGGCGCAGAGGAAACTGAAACTTCCCTTACAAGGAAGGGCCTTGAGTCATATGTAGAGCCTTAAGACCAGCTAGAAGGGCAGCTAGGTGGCGCAGTGGATAGAGCACTGACCCTGGAGTCAGGAGGACCTGAGTTCAAATTCGGCCTCAGACACATGGTACTTACTAGCTGTGTGACCCTGGGCAAGTCACTTAACCCCAGTTGCCTCACTTTAAAAAAAAAAAAATCAGCTGGACTCAAGGACCAAAGGACATCCCATAATGATGCCTGAGCTTTACCATTTCCTATTCTCCATAACTACTTTGCTACAAGAGAAGTGGGAAGGTACTGATCTGAGACAAGAACTTGGATTGTTCCTGGAGTTTGGCTGTTCCCAGAGAGCTTATTGGAGCCCCTCCAGCCATTTTCCTTGCCAGCTGGCTACTCTCTGTGGCACTTACACTAGGCCCAAGGCTAGCTGGAACTTCACTCTCAGGTCAGATCCTTCTAGGGCAAAGGGAGAGAGAATAGCTTTGGGCCAGAAGCACCAGAGAAACTGCTTAGCTTCATGATTTGCTTGGGTACCTCAATCTGTTTTTCCCAGTAAGCAGTTACTTCCCATAGTGGACAGCAGTAAACATTCCATTTTCTCCCTGATCCAATCTCTTACTTTCTCCTGTGTGTACAGTCTAAACAGGAATATAATCAAGGGAGTTGTTAATGTGTGGAATAGCCAAGATGAAGTACTCTTCATCCTCAGGGGTCTACCTCCATGTCCAGCCCTTCTGCTGGCTTCTTGGTTCCCCTTGGGATTAGTCCTTGGGGCCATCTCAGTGCCTATACCCTGTTCTTCCATTTTGGAAGTGGCTCCCCCTTTTCCCCTCTTTGTAGGGCACAAAGAAGGGCAGCATCCTCATCTTCAAGGACAGAGGTCAGTGGAGCACAGTTGAAATATATCAGTTAAGGGGCTTAAGAGCACAGCTGGGTGAGGCAAGCATGTTGAGTGGGGGCCAGGGTTTTCCAGGCATGGCTGGGGCCCTTTCTGGGGAGGTTAGCCTTTGCCATTGCTGAACCTCTGGAGCAGGCTGTGGCCCAAGTTTCATTCTGGACAAAGCAAGCCTCAGCCCCACTATTGTGAGCCTCTTTTCCTGGAACCAACAGTTCTGGCCCTCTTCTCCACAAAAGAGGCCAAGGACCATGCCTAGAGTTACTCTCTTCATAAGAGTTGTAGGAACTCACCCAGCCAGTCTGCACCCATAACTCCCACCCTTTGGCTCTTATTCCTCCTCAGGGAGGGGGCTCGGAGGTTACGCACAGGCTATGGCTGCTCAAGGGAGCTGCCCCTGGAGCTGGAGCAACTGTCTGAGCCAAATGAGTAAGAGTGAAGGCCTTTTTTGCCCAAGCACTTATATCAGCCTCTCCTTTCTCTGTGGTCAGGGCCAAAAAGAATGACTTAGGATCTGAGTAGCCGCTTCCTCCCTCCTCTACACATACACAAACACTGACAACTCATAAAGATCAAGGAAGTGTGTGGCCCTGTGCTGCCTGCTGACCCTAGCTCCAGCCACACACACTTAGCAGCTACAGCAGTTAGAAGCCCCATTTGTTTACAGCATGCTTAGCTGCTTACTTCCTGGAAGTACAGAACTGCTCCCTCCCTCCCCTTCAAATAAGTGAAGCTGTGGTGGGGCAGTTCACTTTGGTTGACCAGAGTAATGGTGGGAAAGCTAGAACCCCTATTCTCCATAGTCCAGGTTGGTCAGAATTAAGATCCAGGTAGACTTTTTATCCACTGAAGTACTCAAAATTAATAAATTCCCACAGGTCTTCATCATACTATTTTGTCTACCTCTCTCTACAGGTACCTGACTCGTTGGGCTCCCCGATCTGTCAAGCCCATCTTAAAGAAAGGTCCAAAATGGAACAAAGTTCGAATGGCTGTGGGCTCCCCCCTGCTTAAGGATAATGTCAACTACACAGGCAGACCCCTAGTGATATACCATTGAAGGGAGGGAGTGGTTTCTAAGATGTTGGCCAAAGCCCCCAACCCCTGCTGATGGGAGCTGTCTCCCATCATTCCAACAAGAAAGGACTAGAAGGTAAATCCAGCCTAGAACTGCTGCAGACTCAAATGTTTTCAAAACTGGTTATTCTTAACCAAAATGTGGACAAAGGGAAAGGCAGTAATAATGTCCTTCTGATTCCAATGGAACTGCTCATGGAGCTGTGGGGAGGCCATTGGCAACTGCCATAAGATAAATCATGATCAGCTCTGACTGAACCCCTGGATTGGGTGATATAAGTATTACCCAAGAAATGTCATAAAACAAGACATATTTGCTAAATCACTTGGTGTATGGTTATTTCTTGGGAAACTAGAGGTTACTGGACCCCCAGCACCAAGTTCTGCAGCTTGGAGACTTGGGAAATAATGGGATTGATATCCTGCAATTGACAGTACATGGATTCCAAGAGGATGTAGTTTGATGTGTCCCCAACCTCTTTGTCTTGGAACCCTGATTGCCTATGAGTTCTGAGTAGGTTGAAGGAAGCAGAGACTAGAGACCTCTGTTCTGAGTACAAATGTCTTGGCTGTAAAGCTTAAGTAATTTACTCAAAGACAGGACTCCAGGTAAGCTTTTCCATCCTCTGGGCATAATCTCCTGCACCTCTGCCCATTTGCCCTTTGGCATCCCTTCCCAGGGGCATATTGGCAGGTGTCACCTACATCCCTCCTCCCTTCTGTTCTGTCACCAGAGTGACCACCTCAAAGACTAGAAGCACAGGAGGGGAGTAGGCAAGTACACTGTAAACACATAATAAATTCATGTGAGTTCATGAAAATATTATTCAAGTTTCTCTGCATATAAAGTAGTACCCAGGCTGAGGCACACCCCAGTCATAGCATGAAGGGCAAGTCTATGTTCTTCTCACCAGTGCCCACATAAATATAACCATGATTCTTGGTCCGGGGAGCATGGTAGAATGTCAGGCCTGGCCAGAGCAGGCTTCGAAGCACAACCAGTGCATTGCCTCTCTCCATCTGGATACTCCAGGACCCTGGGGAAGAGACAGACAGATGAGGAGTTGAAACCAGGGGCCTCTGAGGAGGCTTGCTCATGCTCAGCCAGCTGCTAGAGAAGGTTCCAGAACTGTTGGGGGATTTTGTCCTGGTTCATGTGGTTTCATTGGTAGGAATAAAGACGATTCAATTATCCAGAGGCCGATTGTTCAGATGTTTTACATCTCCTGAGTGCCTTTTGCCCATTTCATTGCTCATTAAAACCTCTCTACCAAAGTGAGGGCAAAGGAAATGAAAAGAGGTGAAACTCCAACCAGTCCATATTGCTAATGTCAGCAACTGTAGTTTAAGGTTAAGGAGAAGAGACTTAAAAAGGTCAATAAAATGGAGGTTTGAAGATTTGTAGTATTTTGGTACTCCTAACCAAGACTTATCCAAACTGACATGAATGCACTTTTCTTAAGTGTACTTGGCCCCCACTTTGCTGCTTCAATCTTTCTTTTCTTGGGGGGGGTCTCTCTCTCTCTCTCTCTCTCTCTCTCTCTCTCTCTCTCTCTCTCTCTCTTTCTCTCTTTCTCTCTCTCTCTCCCCCTCCCTCCCTCCCTCCCTCTCTCCCTGCCTCCCTCTCCCCCCCCCACCCAATAGAGTGGTCTCCTCTACCTTTGCATCCTCACCCTCACTCAGATACTCCCTACCACCCCACATAAGTTTCCCTACCAACCCCCTACAGCCTTAAGTACTCTGGTGGTGTGGATAGACCACCAGTTCTCGGAATGTTGGCCATGTAAGTATAAAATCACCACCCTTTTTTTTGCAACCTAGCCAGCCAACAATCAGGATATCAGCTCTAGCTGGAGGGGACTGAGACCTAAGGCTAATTGAAGTGTGGGGGTAGGGATTTAAGAACAAGCCAAAATCTTTATCCTTCACAGGCCTTATCCTGATTCCTTGTGCTCCCCCAAAACAGGAGTACCCCAGCCTGAGGCTGAGTTCTGCAGCCACGATGATGACTTGGCGGGAAGAGCCTGTCCCAGCTCCAGAATTGAGGGAGGGAGCTGCTGTGTGGGAGGAAAGAGCCTGGGAAAATCTCCTCTGGATGGAGATCTGGAGCTTCCTATTCCCCCTGCGCACTGTGGCCTCTCCCCCCTTTTCCCCAGCCCAGCCACAGCTCTGCTCACTCTGCCAAAAAGGCAAACACTTTGAAGGTTTTGGTGCTGGACCAGCTAGCCCTGCAATGAGGTCTACTCTTGCAGCCTTCATCAGCTGCCAGCTCAGCCAGGCTGCCTGGCTCCAGCTGCCCCAACTTCCCACGGGCTTTCTTCGGCCATGGCCTGCCCTGGCCATACCACACCCAGAAACCCTGTACATGGCTCAGCATGATCCCCCCACCCCTAAGGGGCCACCCTGCCTTTGGACCCAACCAACCGACCGCTAGTAACCCCTAGCCCTGCCCGGGGTGGAGCCACACTGCCCTAGGCCAGAGCTTGAGCTTCCAGAGGAGGGAGGTGGGCAGTCATAGTCAACACTGTTAAGGGGGAAGGAGATAAGACCAGGGAGTCCTTTCTCTTCCTTCCCCATCCCACCCCCTTCACTAAAATGCCACTATTTCTATGTCAGGATATAGTCTTTAGAGAATCCCTCCAAAGTAGCCATATGCCTCATCAGCCTTCTCCAGCCCCTCCTCACACTGCCAGAGGTAAATAAGTGGTTACAAAAAGGATGCAGTATCCAGTCTGTAAGTATTCCCCTAACTGGGTTGTCCCATTAGGGTTGTGTTATCACCAACTCCTATCCTTATCATGATTAATGTTCTGTATCTGCAAACCTTTCCTAGGTTTGTACCTGCTCCTATCCTGCCTAGTCGTGAAGAGTGGAGAGTAAACTTCTTCAAATGACTTTACCTAAGTTCCAAATTGAGATGGGGAAGAATAAGGTTGAACAACTCACTCCAGGCTAGAGAAGAGCTTACCATGCCCAAAGGATATTTTTCACCTTCCCCCTTAGCGAACAGTCTCAGAAGTATCATCTGGACCCAATTTCAGTGAAAATGCTCAACACAGGTCCCCCTAGCCAATGGGCCACTAAACTGGAATGAGTTTTGGGAATTAAGTTGTCTGCATCCTCATGTTACCCCATTCATTGATAGGAATTAACAATAGCCTCTGCCAGGCTCTATTCTAAACAGGTCAGGTCCTTGTCCATGTCACTCCCTCACTGAGTGAATTCATTTGGTGTCCTGTTACCTGTAGGGTGAAGTACAGACTTCTTGGTTGGGCATTTAAAGCTCTTCACAACCTGGCTGCAACCTGTCTTGCCAGCCTTGTATGTTCCTCCCTTCCTCAAAGCTAGCTTCCAGCCAAATTGGCCTTGTTCTTCACACAGGACATTCTAGCTCCTATCCCTGTGTATCTGCATGGGCTGTTCCCCACGTGCCTGGAATGCATTCCCTCCTATTCTCCACCTTCTAGAATTCCTCATTTACTTCAAAGCTCAGGTGAAGCGTCACATACGTGAGACCTTTCCCTACAGCCTCTCCCTGCCAAAAAAAATTAGCTTGTAATTCTGTATGCATTTTATGTTTGTGCAAGTCTTCCCCCTCTGAAATGTAAGCCCCCTGAGGGCAGGTACTATTGTATTTTTGTCTTTTTATCCCTAGTACCTGGCATGTAGTAGGTGCTTAATATTAAATGTAGATTAGTTGTAGGGCAGGGATGCTAGACAAGAAAGAGGTTGTTAGCCCATGACTCCATCAAAAGAGGTTCCAGGTCAGGAAGCAAGAAAGGGCAGGGATGCCAGAGCCACTTCCTTGAGAAAAAGGAATAATCCACAACAGACAGGGAAGCTTTGGCTGGGCATTCCAGCATACGAATGGCAAGCCAAGTCTTTGCTGCCTACCTCCCTCCCTTGCATTCCTGTCACACTCTTCCCGAAGTCCTCGCTCAGCTGGTCGCCTGGGAAACGGTGGTTCTCAACGTGCCAAGAGTCACGTAGTGTCTACCTGGGGAGCTGGGGACTAGTCTGTCACCGTCACCCATTTTTCTAGCTTCAAACTGAAAACAGGCTTTGCTGTCCCCCAGCCATAGCCCTTCTTGTTCTGCTACCCTGATGTTCTGATCTCTCTCCTCCGAACAGGGATCAGAAAGGTTCAGCTAAGCTTGAGCTCAGCTGATCTGCCCTGGTGCATATAATTACTCTTTCATTTCCTTATGTCTTTCCATCCAGATTCCCTGGTAGCACTAGGCCCTTGCCTGTTCTCTCGAGTATCCTCTGGGTAGCCACCACAGTCCAGAGTATCCATCTGCAGACAGGGAGAGGGGAAGACTGGGGACTAGGGACATGGGGAGATAATGGGAATGAAGATAGCAGAAGTGGGGCCTGGCCTAAAACTTAACAAACTTCCTTCTCAGGTTTTCTGTCCCCAGCTGGCAGATGAGAGTCAAAAGAACCACCCACTTCATACCTGTGCGATCTCTTATGAGAAAGAAGGAGTTTATCATCCCAGCTTAATATATTACTGGCTAGGGGCTCTACAAATTCCTCTAGGAGGAACCAAATAGGCCCCACAGAGCTTAAGCTAAACTTTAGAAGAATAACATTTAACTGTTCCTCCCAAGGGAGTTTCAGTGCTACAAAGACCTAGGGTCTTCCCGAAAGATCCCAGCAACTGCTTCTTCCCTTTGGGCCTAGTCCACTCCCTGGTGACTCTCCTGAAAGACAGGAACTAAAAGGCAGATTGGGAGCAAACTATCATTGATAAGGAGTTTACCCAGGAGGGGTTGGTGCAGTGCACATCAACCCCCCCTGCCTAAAACCTCCATGAAAGGGACCTAGATATACAGACAGCTCTAAAACAAGGATTTTCACATTTTCCTCCACCCCCAAGTCCCACCTAACAGTAAGTGCTGTCGTCTCATTTCTGATTGTTGGTCCCCCTGGCTACTTGGAAAAGCCATCTTTCCAACGCTATAAAAAAAACCCTTTTTTAAAAAGCTGGCTCCATGCTGACCCCTGCTGCCTAAACTGAGCATTGTAGCTCTGATTTAGCCAAGGTAGAAGTCAAGCCTCTCTCCACTGCTATTTCTGGGTGAGTCTCACCCATCCCAGCTCTGGGAGTGAGAGCAGAGAAGAGGATGGTTTTCTATCCTCAGTGGCCAGCAGCAATAGCCACTTCTTTCCCCTGCGCTTTATTGCCTGGATAATGAAACCCTGTGTCTGCATGCTGCTTTTATATGTTATAACACTTTTACAGTCATTCTCTCATTTGATCCTTTGTACAACAGCCTTGTGGGTGATGGGCCCTAAGTATTAAGTGTCCCCATTTTGTGAGGGCTGAAGAAACAGACTGAGATAAGTGACAAGACTAAAATCCCTAGTGTTTTCTGCCTGTCACACCACAAAGTACCTGATAAATTGGAGAGATGCTCGGAGCTTGACAGTAGCAGGAGACAGCTTCCTCCCAGGATCCTTGGGGTGACCCCTGCCTCCCCCCTTCTCTCCAGAGGGGGGAACATAGAACTAAAGCTCCCTAGACCCTGGCCAGAAAACATCACTCTGGGTGTGGTCTAGGGGTTGTCAATTACATAACAACCCCAAGGAGAGAATCTGAGGGAACTGATTCAAATATGAGAACAAGAGCCATTCCACAATAGATAGATGACCAAAGGATATAAACAGGAAGTTCTTAAAGAAAAGCAAGCTATCAAAAGTCATTAAAATGCTCCAAATCACTAATAATAAGGGTACACGTTTAAACAACCCTAAGGTTTCACCTCACACCCACTGAATTGGAAGACATGACAAAAATGGAAAATGACAACTGCTGAAGAGGATGTGAGGACAGGCACATTGATGCATTTTTGATGGAGCTGTGAAGTGGTCCAACCAATCTGGACTGATAACCAAAAAGTTAGTAGGCCAAACAAACCCTTTGACCCAGCAATACTACGATTAGGCATATAACCCCAAAGAGATAAAAGCAAAAAAGCATGTACATGTACAAAAGTATTCAAGGAGCAATTTAGAGAGACCTGGGAAGAAA